ATGGAAGCTTACCTCCCAGGTCTTAGAATCTTGTACTTTCCCAACTTGGTAAGATCCACCACTGTTGATCCTGCTCGCCCAGCCGGAAGAATTCCGCCATCATAGACATATGCACAATGCTCCCAAAGGTTCTCAAAATCTTTGATGTTTATGCTACTGGGTTGTCCACTGAGGTTAGCGCTAGTAAGTGCAAGGGCACTTCTAGAACCACGGGCGATTACCCTGATGAAGTTATAGTCAGGCACTCGGACGCCTATGCTCTCTAATCCAGGGTTTAATGACTTCTCAAGGATACTTGACTCACCTGCAAAATATCTGAATTCAGCCTCTAGTACAGAAGATTTATAAGAGAAAGATAAAAGCTTCTAAAACTACTGAACACGGGCCAGTATTTGCCCAGGTGAGTGACTCTTCTTGGTCCTTCTTCAAGTGTCTTACTTGAAAAGTTACATACATTTACTATGTAACAATAAAGTCCTAACTTGAGATATTTAACCTTAAGTCCTAAACAGAGCTTGAATAACGATACCCATCCCTGCCACATTTGTTGGACATAACATACAATAAGCTACTAACCTCGCCTTAAGACCACAGTTACAGGTCCTGGAAGCAGGCAGTCAAGCAAGCCATGAGGCAGATGATCTGTCATAGCGTAACGTTGTATATCATGAATATCGCCAACACAAATCGCCAGAGGACTTGTATGCTTACGTCCTTTGATCTCATAAATACGATTCACTGCCTCAGCAGAACTACATCAATGCACCATATAAAATTAAACCAGACTTCCCATAAATATGACTTAGAGAAATAAACAACAAATTAAATTGTCTCCTTGATTGCTAGATCAAATGAATAAACAGTGAACGACAAGAATGTTTCTTTTTTCTGAAAGTTAAATTAATCTAGAGCCCCAATAAATTTTTCAATGAAAAGTATATTATCTTATGTTTTCTAACAACCTAGGTTCAAAAGATTCCTTTCTAGTTCACAGAACTAATCAGCACTTGCAAGTTTTGAGCATATCAAGTTTTGGCAGTAATCTTAATTCAATTTTCGTACCAGTCTCTGCTGCTAGCTCATTCAAAGGCAACTTAGCGACACTCATTCGCTGGTCTTGCCCAATGTCATTATGAAGACCTCCAAGATGAGAGATTGGGTCTCTTTGTATTCTGCAATTAACTCAAACTTCTGATTCTAAACAGGATTTAGGTTCTTCTCAATGATTTTGCTTAACCTTGAAAAGTGGATGAATGTATACAACCACAAATAGATCAGATTTTCCTAACATTTCATGGTTCTTTAAGCCATTAGCCTTTACTACAGTTACTATGTGCTTCCCTGTGGTTTAAGCTACAAATTGCTATTATCGATAGACATGCCGTCAATCGGAACAACAATTTTGGCCGGGCCATTTTAGCAATATCTATCACTAGTGTATTTACAGTGTCATCAATCATATCTGAAAGTCCAAAAAGAGCTCTTAAACTTCCACCAACAGCCCTCAAAATATTATCAATTCTATTGTTTGGCTTAGAAATAAGCTATAATAACAGCAGAGAAGCAAGGAATTTCCCAGCTAGTTGAAACATGACAACAAAATTATTGAAGTTGAAGACTTTAGAAAATGGGTACAGAAGCAACCATTGCAGCTTCAATACCTAAGACAATATTCAGATCACCACCCAATCAGAGGTCAATGTCCTTTTTTTGGGATAACAGGAGGTGTCCCAGCTTGGCGCACTTCGACTATCCAGCCAGATACCTATTACCTATCACTAGCGTAGATACCAGCAGAGGCGGATCCGAGATTTAAGTCTATAGGTTCAATCTCTAAACTTTTTAGCATTGAACCCATTATATTTTTAAAGTTATGGGTTCATATCTACTATTTGTTGCAATATTAATGAATATTTACACATAAATTATACTCCGCATCAAGAGTACTGAATTCAGATGAACCCGGTACCATAAGGCTAGATACGCCCCTGGATACCAGGTAACTCTGTCTACCAAAGTTTAGGCAGATAGAAAAAAACACCTAGTTTTTGTTATCTCCGCTAAGATTTGAACGTTAGTCTCTAAGGTTTGCACCCACTTCATTGACCACTAGGCTGTGGGGTATCCTATCCGGGGTCAATATCCATGGTGCTTTGACCTTGTATAAGGCTGTGAACACGAATACTTTCTATTTAGGTGCCAAAGTTCCCAATGATAATTTGCTGAACTTCAATGAAGTAATTCCAGGAGGTCAATAAGTTTCTAAAAGAGGTTCAACAGATTCTCTTATAATAGCCTCTCTTGCTTCGGCAATAAATGGCCACAATTTGCTCGATTGTTTGTTCAACCCTTTGACCTGTTCATAAACTAGGAATAACATACATTCAAGAAAGTTACCGCCGCACATTTTCTTTAGATCGTCCCTGTTGAGGGAGCCCATTAGTTTTACATCAGCTGCCTTGCTGATTCGCTTGTTGCTCCTGTACCTCAAATGTCGTCAAGCTGTCATTAAACTGATTCCGAAGATTATCCCCATCAGAACTCAGAAATCAACCCCATTCTATTTCAACCCAATTCCCTCTTTATACCCAAAATAATAACTGCGTATATGATAAATACTGAAACAACTTGCTTCTCAAACACAGAATTATTGCTGCTTCCTTTTCTTTACTATTTTCAGGAGCGGCCTCCACAAAGCTTTGAGGCTAAAGAAGAAAAGGTATCTTACTTATTTCATTGTACAACGAAATTAACGAGGGTTGGACGGTTATGCATTACTAACTACCCCGCTCCTGAGAGTGGTCTTTCTGTTTGTTTATTCCAACAAAAATGTTTGAAACTTCCTGTTAAGTCAATATGTTATTGCAATACTCTAGGAAGGCTGGGTTTCTTAAGGTCTAATCTATTAGGAGTACTTCTTTCTTTGAGTTAGATTTTATCATTTCCAGGGAGATGAGTGGAAGGAGATACAGAATATGAGAAAGTAGCTTTCTTCACATAGTGTGGAACAGGGAATACAAACCTTATAGCACAACTGCAGATCAATAGCAATCAGCAGGAATGGAGAGTGACTACAGATATCATTCCTTTATCACTATCTAGTTCCCACTTCAAGCACACAGTGTCCTTTTCACAAGCCAAATTCCCCAAGTACCTAAACAAAGGACACTGATTCCAGTCCAAAAAGAATAATTCCTCATTAAGTTGACATCCTATACTCAATTCGCTTACCATGTGTTGTGACAGTTTAACTACCACTGTGAAGAAACCTCCAAAAGGTTTTCCCCGAAGCTTCACCTCATTTTTGGGTAGTAATAAATATGTTAACCCAACAACAACAACAACAACTACCCAATAAAATCCCACAAAGTGGGGTCTGGGGAGGATAATGTGTACGCAGGCCTTACCCCTACCCCGATAGGGCAGAGAGGCTGTTTCCGATAGACCCTCGGCTTAACCCAACAAAGCCAAATCCCAAATAAGATAGTCTTCGCGTAACTGGTAAAGTTGTTGCCATGTGATTACGAGGTCACGGGTTCGAGCCCTGGAAACAGCCTCTTGCAGAAATGTAGGGTAAGGCTGCGCATAATAGACCCTTGTGGTCCGGCCCTTCCGCGGACCCCGCACATAGCGGAAGCTTAGTGCACCGGGCTGCCCTTTTTTTAGTATACCAAAACATCATGTTTGCCTATTTCAAAATCTTTCCTGTAAGCTTCTCAACTAATTTCTATTTGCTAGTGTCTAAAAAAGTCAAAGCTTTTACTCCACTAAAATGTCAGAATATAGAACTACATTGAATCGAAAGGCAAAAATATCAACAAGAAAGTTTAGAATAAATTGCAACAGAATTTTGGTGTTTTACTGTCCAAGCGTAGTTATTAATTCAAGCCTACCCTTTCCACTCCAATCTATTTCCTTTATCCAATACATAATAAACCAAAACCCAAGAGTACTAACAGTGTATTAGTACAAAGTATACTCAAAATATTACATAACTATATATTTCTATAACAGTTCATTTTTCTAGTGTCTGTGTGTTTAACTTGTCATCAAAGAGGAAAGAGCAAATTAGAGGCATACCAAGCATCACAAGCAAAACCATATAATGTATCAGTGGGCACAGCTATAACTTTTCCAGCTTTGATAGCTTCAATTGCTTCTTTGGCATAATCTTCTGTAGCAGGACTCACAGAAACTACCTTAGTATCCACATTGCCATCACTTTTCTCCAAACTCCAAGCCATTTTCTTCACACTAAAACCCCTCCTACTTCTTGTCCACAAGTTCAAAAATCCAATCTTTTCCACCCCTTCAGCTAAAAAAAAACAAAAGGTTTAATCTTTGTTATGTCTAAGCAAAACTGGAAACAGAATTTATAATTATAAGAAGAAAAGGGAAGAAGACTAACGATGAGTGTTAATATCAAAGAGCACCTCGAGAAGGGTGAAATAGAGAGGTGAAGTAAGGGAGAGTTTGGGCTATTTTTGTGGGTGCGGTGGCGTTCATCAGTCTTCTCTCCCCTGCAACTTTGCTCTCTTTGTGTTCTCTGCAGCGTTTTATCTCAAGAAAATATATGCCCTATTTGGTTGGAGGCCTAAAATTCAGCCGCCAATTGAGTTAAAGGCTACCGGGTACTCTTTTTTTGTTTTTGTTTTTGTTTTTGTGAGTACTCTATTTATTTCCTTTTTATACCTTTCACTGTTATAATAAAACTCAAGCAATTAAACTCTTTAACCAAAACTCCAAAACACTATCCACATAAAACTGTAGTAGAAAAAAAAAACAAGATTTGAATTGCCCAATTCAAACAAACTCAGCTGAATACAAACTAAAAACACTAATTAGGAATATGGCCACCTAATTAATTTACAAATGATTGAATTTTTTTTCAAGAATAGTAATATTACAGATTACTTACCAAGTCAGAGTTAAGAATCAAGAAGAATCAAGAAGCCAAAGAATTGGTGGTAGGTGGAAATTGAGAAGGACTTATAATGAAATGGGTTTCAGAAAAAATGGGAGAAAAGATTGAAACATATATAAATGTACTAGTAGTTCAGAAGATTAGGCAACAGCTAGTGAATTGTGAATAAAGACAAGAAACATTTGTCCAGCATCTTTTGTACTGCTATTTTATTTGTGGCCATAGGGATATACACTTAAATGAAAATTTAGTGGCCATATTAAATTAAATTACTTAAAATTTGCAAATAGTCGTAATGGACCGGTAATTGTCTTTATAATTGTCCCCCTCTGTTTAGCTTACTGGTGAATTTATTTGTGCGGTGATCAATAAATTTACAAACAACTCTTTTTTTTAATATGCAAATCTTATCGAAAAGAAGTCTCTAACCATACAAAAAGAAAATAATAAAAACAAAGCAATTCGTTATCAAACAGCAACACTAATCAATTTGCTTCTTGAAGTCGACAACACCAATTATCAACCTTCACCCGAGTGCTTATTTCTTTTCACACTGATAGAGTTTCGCATTCTACTAAGGAAAAAAATTCAAAAATACTTACATTGATCAATTAATACAAAACATACTAAAGATACGAATACTTATTGACATGAATACATAACAATTCTATATTTTAACAAATACTCAATTATAGAGGAAGTGGAGAATAACCAAATAATAAGGCAGAAATCTACCAAAGTACTTAAAAAAAAGAACATGAGCGGTTACAGCTTGTTTGGATGGTTGTTACATATCGTTTCATAATGTATCGTATTGTATTGTATTGTACTGTATCGTTTGATGTATACAATGTTTGGATGGATTGTGTTGTTTTGTCGTCGTTTCATGGTATCATGCACCAGTAATATGATGAATAAACTTGCAATATTATAAAGAAAAATTATGAGATGGTATATAAAAAGGTAGGGTAAATGATAAAATAAAATTATTTAATAATAATGAAGGGTGAGATTGAGAGAAAAACACAAGGAAACGATGTGACCACACCAAATCGGTCGTTACATAAAGTGACACATTTCATCGTTACGTAACGACAGATTTAACGATACGATACAATAAAATTTAAGTAACAATCAAAACAAACATTGTATTTAAAGTAACAATACGATACGATACAACTGGTAACAACCATCCAAACAAGCTGTTAGTAAACATGTTCAAAACCTCAAATAAGTATTTTAATTTTATGGAAGTTTTATGGACGAAAAATTATAGTACCGTATAATTTTATAAAATAAAAAAGGTTTTCTAAATTTTGGAAAAATAGATAGATAGAGTTTTCGACCTAAAACTATATACATATAGGATTATTAAATGTGTATACAGGAAGTTACTAAATATTGTAGGGTTAAAGACTAACTCCATAGAATAATTCTTTTTTTCTAATGTCACTGTTTTGTCATATTGAGACATCTTTCTCCTTCACATTTTTTATATCTAATTTCTTACTATCGTTAGACACACTCCCAATCTGGTATGAAATATTTGTCATGAGTATTACATGCACAAATTCACCTTCCTTTGTCTTAACTTAAACATAATTACGTGAAAGCAAAAACGATGAAACTGGTTGCGTGATCGGCCAGAGAAGTTAATAAGTTGTTGAAAAAAGAATAGAAAGACAAAAGTACCATAATTAGATCATAACTTCTTATAATTGATTAACCGTTATACAAAAGTTTTTTTTTTTGATACTTTATTACATATTTATTGAATATCATATATAGCTAGTAAATACAAAATTACTTCATAGTGACCAAAAGTCGTTTTCCTTTTTGGAAGGAATTAATACATAGCAAGCACTCATTCTTTTGCACACAAAATTTTGATTTATTGCATGATTCAGTGCACAATTGAAAATTGAATTTAAGAATAAAAAAGGACGGGAGAATGAAACGTGAGATTGAGCACAAAGAGTCATTAAAAAGACCTAAACACGTAAATGGGAGGGGGAAAAAAGTAAAAGGAGATAGAAGATGAATACATTTTCATAACATATATGTACTCTCAATAAGGATTTCTAGGCTTGAAGTTAAAGATAAGAATAAATTACATGAATCTTTTCTATATTTTTTATTTTTATTTTTTAGTTGCTTTTACCTTCTTTTTTTTTCTTCCTTGCCTGCCCATTCATTTTACACTATTTTGGTGAATAACAAAAAAAATATTTATTAACTATTTCTTTCTTCTATTCTCACGTTTCAACATCTTCTTTATAACCAGCTACTCCTCCACTCTAAAGCTGCTCTCTTCCATCCTCAATCATTAAAAGTATGAAAAAATCTCATAAAATCTTAAAAAACAACATATATTATTGGCTTCATAAAATAGTCATATACAACATGAAATTAAAAACAAAGGGAGGTCAAACTTGTAGTAGAGAAAAAAAATGATAATAAGAATCAATTGCAAAGAAAATAAAAGTATTATTACAAATTTACAATCAATAATATTCTTTTCTCCGCCTTTTCTTTTTTTCTTTTTTAGTATGAAGATGTATGGCATAACTTAAAAAGTTAATGAAAAAAAACTTACTAGACATTATAAAAGGTTTTGACTCTCTTTTCGAGAATACTATTCATTAAATTAACAATATTGATGTTGAAAAACGTTGAAGGACCTTATAAGTATAGGCTGTGAATCTTTAGCATTCATTGTTGTTCCTCATAAATATCGAATATGAAATTATCGAAGTTAAGTAACGACCATTTTTTAACACAATCGTTGTTAAGCATTAAATTTATAAAATGTGGAATAGTGTATATAGTGAATTGTGTACTACGTCCCAAAAGTCACATTTCTTTGAGAAAAGAACATGAAATAAATTAATTTAAAAGCCTTAAGATAGTTCATAAAAGAAATACCATAGACTCATATAGGAAAAAGAAATGATTCTATATACCCCCATTCAAATCCTTTGTTGCGTAGTCTTACCCTGTTAATAAAAATAAATACTGACCGATAGGTTCAACTTATTCATTTGATATCTTCTTCAATTAAAAATTGATACGTACTCTCCGATCATTTAGTCATGAAAGGGAAGTACATGGACTTCTATAAATTCAATTTTGTGAGCTAGCCCTATCCTTCTCAATTGTTGGAAGACCGATCTCGTAGCTAATTTTCTCGTTAATATCCATGGCAAGGATATGAAGCCAATTCATAGAAATTTATACATACAATATACAGTCTTTTCAGTTTCCCATTATCATCATACATAATACACAATAAATTTATTGATGTTTAAGCTAATTTAATTGTGAAAGATGTGGACGAAACGTTAGAAGCTCACAATAATGTTATTCACAATTGATACGTTATAAATTAATAATAGCACTCTCTTTATATCCATAAGTGAAATCTCCTCATAACCTGAAACCTAATCTCTTTTTCTTATTTCACTTTTGTCATTTTTTATTTTATTATTAAATAAATAAATAAGTAAGAGGGAAAGAGTCCAAAAATAGGAGATAAAAGATAAATATGAATGGAGGCCATAGAGAGGTGTCACGTCACCTTATCTATGCCTAGCTTTATATTATATATAGATTGGAGTAATATATAGATATAGACATATAGATATTAGTTTTTCTCCACCAAAAAAGTTTGATTCTGGATTTGTAAAAGTTAAGCAATCCATATAATACAAATTATTTTTCATAGACTTTTGACCATATATTAGTGAAAAAATTAATAATACCAAGTACTACCTGTTAGTTGAAAATGAGGCGGAAAACAACAATTGAGGTTTGAAACATTTAATAGTTACGAATCAAAATTGTTACTTTTCTGCTATTGATATAATAATTTTCCTATACCGAAAAAAATAAAATGAAATGCTCCTTCCTCATTCCAAGTCAAACTAGATATAAACAAAGAGAATGTAAGATATTAATGTAAAAAATAAATAGTTTGAGATATTGTGATTATTCAAAATGATTTAATAAGTAATACAGTATAATAATTTTTCATTAGCGTTTTCCTCTTTTAAGACGTAAAATAAAGGAGCAATTGTGCATTTTAATTTTAACAGCAATTAGACGTTGTAGAACGTCAGTCTAATGTGAACCTATCAAAAGAATTTCAAAATATTGCTGAATTTGATCACATGGTCTATTCATTTTATTTTTATTTATTTTTCCGGTAGGCACGACTAATAAAAGGAAGTTGTGGACGGAAATTTAGTTGGTCAAAAGTACAAGGACTGAGATGCAAAATTAGAGGGAATCATTCCGCTATATTCCTCAGCTTAGCAAGAAATAACTAACTGTCGTTTCGACCTCTTAGACAAAAAAGACCGCAGTGTGGAAAAAGTAAAAGGACACAGGACCGTCGCCACGTGTTGTCTTTTTATTGGGTAAATTGTTCGACAAGTGAAACAATACGAACACCTTTTAGATGTGAAAGAAAGTACAATAATAAAAAATTTCTTCATATAACAGACTTTTTGTTAAACAAGACTCATTTCAGCTCATCTTAGTTTTACTAGCAAAAGTATTAGGAATACTTAGTTTGATTTCGTGCCCAAGGTCTATCGAAAAAAATCTCTCTACCTTTATAACTTATAAATTACAAGGTAGGAATAAAATTTACTTACACATTATGCTTCACAAATCCTACTTATAGAAATATGCTGGATTTTCTGTTATTGTTCAATCGTACTAAGCCTGAATAACTTAACATGATCTAATATTGTTCGTTTTATTTGCACTGATTTTTCCTAAAGACACGCAACCACTTGGCATTCCAATTACTTCATCCATAAACCTTTTTTAAAATTTCAAAATAAAGGAGAAGCTTCCATTCTAGAAGCTACCGCTTCCCGCCTCCCTCGCGATGAGTTCAGTGGACCGATGTTTGGCTAACCCTCTTCTTCTCATTCGTGTTGGGTTCATCCAGAAGTACAGTACAGAGAAATAGAACCACTGGAGAGTCGTCTGCAGTTCATACTTGGACAAAGACGACTGACTTTGGAAGCGAAACAAAAACCTATTTCCGCTATTTCAGGTTCTTATTGAGCATAGCAAAATCAAGGTTGATGATAAAGCCAGCGAAGTTTCCATGGTGTTCTACCACCTCACACCATTTAAGAACATGTGTACACTTTATATATAATTAAGTCACGCATGGCCATCATGGGATATATTCACTAGCCCCTCCAATCTAGCACGGCGTGACCAACCCCTATTGACTTGGGCTTATCTGAGTATTTTTTAAATTTAATTTGCCTATGTTCCCGTGAACAAATTTAAGTCTACTTAATCATAACAGTTATAGTAATGATAATAAACAAAGAACTGAGTGAAAACAAAGCTTCACCAAAATAACTTAAATTGGAGAAGAAAATAAATTCATCTTCAAAATATGTCGAAAAACCAGATCATTATCTAACAGGTTTAGGGTTAGGATAATGTAAGTATCTTGTAACAAACAGCCATTACTGAAAAAATTCCGCACCACACATTTTTAGCAAGAGTATCAAATACACAGGAGTCACCTCACCGCAACGGGCTAGAATGTACGCTTAACGTAATGAAACATCAGTTACAGAAGACAGCCACATCCTTAAATGAAACAAATTGACTTGCAAAATGCAATTTGGATACGAGCACCTCAACGAACAAAGCTATAGCGTCCAGATTTAAGAATGAACAGGATATTACGGTACAGTTTCTCATGAGATGTATCTATCCTGTTGCTCTTGAAGAAGTCGGGCAGATGATTTCGCATCAAGATACAATGTATTTACTTCTTCTAGATCCATCTGTAAAATTTAAAGGCTCAGTAAATATCTTCAACTAGCTTCAACAAGGACAAAAATGATAAAGAACATGATTGGGCAAGTACCTTGCAGATTTTGTCACGGCCGTTCATTTTGGCGACTACACTGGCTGGTGATAGTAGCTGTACAGCATGCCTGACAAAGGAAAGAATTGAACACCGGTTACTTCTAATTAAAAGAATAAACATCTGGAGTTATAAATCAAACAAGTTAAACCCAACCTTAAGGAAGCTTGCTGTCCAATCTCGCCCAAGTAAGCAAGGCTTTCTTCATCTATTTCTAGTTCCTCCACTTGTGCACGTATAGCTAATATCTGGCCACACATTCCAAAAAAAACATCCATCAGGAAAATGCAATGACATTACACATGTTCAGGTTGAAATTAGTAAGGCGTATACAAGAAAAGTTGAACGAACTGGTGGGAACCTGTATCATTTCAGCTGGACCATAAGTTTCGGTTCTGACAATCACCAACCGATCTAACAAGTCAACTGGAATGCCATGTGGACTAGTCATATCTGTTCCTCTGCAAGGAAATACATGTGGTTAATTTGTTAGTGACAACTGAGTTATAACAGACATCACATGTATCTGTACTGCTGTACATACATCTAACTTCTAAGGTGTCTACAACGCCAAAAACATGCAGTTCGTAACTGACAATAAGGAGAATATTAACCTGTAATATTAGTAATGCCTTCCCCTAATCCAGACTTGATTTTCCTTGTTTAGTTCCATACTGAGTTTCTTCTCTCCCTCTTATAAACCTTCATATTCAATAAATACAGGAAAGGACCGTCTACCGCCAGCCCCATCTCCAAAGAAGAAGAAATAGCTAAGTTTATATATCCCATGTGGATTTTTATTGCTTAGTATCTGCTACGGTAATTTTGTGCTCCCTGGTTTTCGCTCTCTGTAACCTCAATTTTCTTCATAAGACTCTTATGGTAAAAGAAGAAAAAACACATTCTACGAGCCAAGGAAATTGACGTTCTTCCATAAAATTTTAATAGTGTTTTAACTCTTTTGATTTCTCCCCTCCTCTCAATACCCGTATGAATGGCCTATTTGATGCTTCTAATCCTAGCCCAAGTTCTACAAGTTGTAAAGATGTGAGGCCATAGATGCTTCCAAGACTGGCATAAACCACAGAGTTTGGTTGTTGCAAGTCAAGCCATTTCAGGCATTGGTTCTCATCTAAAGAGAGAGTTCTGCCTCTTGCAGCCTTTCCAGATTCCGATTCATTGCAAGCTGAAACAGGGCCAATGCACCAGACTTTCCCACCTTTGATCTTTTTGAATTCTTGAACATATTCAAGTTCCAGTTCCTCAAAAGTATTGCCAATAATCCCATCTGAGATGGATTCAGCAGCAACCATCTTATTGCGGACGTCGACCAAATCTGGTGAGCCTGGAATCAGATTTTCAGGCAACTGTGATTTTGTCAGCTCTATTCTACGAGGCAAACCTGGTAGCACAAAAGGCTCAAACTTGGACACAACCTCGTGAACTTTAGAACTCTGTAATTCTGCATGCACGTAGAAGAAAAACAGCCCATACCATCAAAGAAAATCCTAGGAACTCTAAACTTAGGTGCACTATCAACGGTCCAGGCCATGTTTTTCCCAGATATTATGCAGCTAGGACTAGGCTTAAGATCACTGAACAATTCTTCAAATGTTTTTTGCAACATGCTAGCAGCTACAAAGAAATCCTTAATTGAATCACGAGAAGGTAAGGAATCCATATTCTCACATCCCTTGGGCAGACCGGCTTGGAAATTCGAGTTCAAGTATTCTGATCTGAAGGCCTGATTTGAATCTGATGGTGTTAGGGGGTGTAGAAGTTATAGAAACAATTACACCATGTTGTGCTAACAATTTAGCTAAGTCTACCATAGGGATGAGATGGCCAGGGGACATCAAGGGTACAAGGACAAAGTGAATCTAACAAGTAATTATGTTCCGAGTTACATATTTCTCGTAATTCTCGCAGTTTAAAAGCTACAATTACATGCCCCATGTAAGCATATTTGATATTAGAAAAATGACAAATTTGTCCTGTATTTTCTTTATCCTTCCACAAGTACAAATAATAAGTTTAGCAAACATACCAAGCAGCATGAAATATTTAATAAACACTTCAATCAACATGCAACTGTTTGATGTATGATAAAAGGCAAGCCAGAAAGCAAATTTTAATTTGCAAATTTCAGAAAACCCCAGAATAAAGAAATCAACATAATGGAACTTGATGAATTTTTCAGGCTTAGTTTTGAACAGCCATACCTGACAGTACAAATGCCTCTGTTAGTGGCAAAAATCACAATCGGAGACAATGAACTCTCCAGTGCACGATTCAAGTATGAAAAGCATTCCATATCAAGCATATGAACCTGCCAAAGACATTTTCTCCAATTAATTAACCGGAGGTGGGGGTTAGTATTAAATGCATTATCAAGCACGTTGTTGTATGAATGAGAAACGAACCTCATCAATAAATAAGACACCAGGAACAAGCTCTGCAACACCTTCATCAATATAACGATTGACAACCTGCAGTGAAATAAGCACATAATAGCCCATTATGCTAAAATACTAAACTCACAGTCTCATAGACACTTCATGAAAATATCCATGAAGGCATGAATAGACAATTGGACTGTAATCAACATGCATGAAACAGCATAATTATTTGTCCAGAGTACTAGTAGCACTAATAATCAGAAGTACCTTATTTATCTCTTGCCGCAATTTGTCAGTAATCTCGGTTTTCCTAGGTTTCATCATTTGACCCATAAGGGACAATATATCTTGTCCTCCTTGTGGACGTGCATTTGCAGCATCAAGATCATGTAATGCAACATCCTGGCGAAATATAATACTGTGTGAAATTAAATCTTTGGTTTCCTGTTCCTTTCAATCGAGTTCCCTCATAAAAAACCATTATATTAGTGATATCATTTGACCCCAAAAAAAAAGGCAGATACTTGGAATTGCATTTTAGTTTGATCAAAACCACACAAGCAAGCAATCATGCCATGTAGGTATCCACAGAAGATCTGATGTACAAAATCTAACTAACTAAATATTTCAATTACGAGACAACTCATTTCCTCCTAAAAGAATCTTGTGCCAAAAGCAGATACTTGGCTGCTTGCTAACTTTACCACTATATTAACTTGTTAACGCCATGGCCTACGATATCTCTTCCAATTACATCCTTAAAATCCAGGAGGCTGAATTCCTGATCATTCCGGTATCTATCTAAGGGATCTGTTTCCTCACTCCTCCAAATGATATACAGAATTTCACACACCCTTCAAGTGTTCAAGTGAGTTTGTTAAGACAAACTATGATCTTTGGTATTCCATAGCTAAGCTATAGAAAATATTGACCATGTGGAAAAGAAGCACAGAAATCAGCTACATGCATACAATGCCAGGGTAATCTTCTATTTGCGCCATAGCAAAATAAGAAATGTGACTGCATGGGAAATGAGACAAACCTGGACTATCTCCTTCTTTTTGTGAACCTCTCCTTTAGGAAGTGGAACATACTCCTCTGCCTCAAGATCAAATTCTGTGGCAAAAGCATCACTTCTGCCCACTCTTTTAACCGCTCCACTGTTTGATTCAATGTAAATGACATCACCAACAGCTACCTGCACATATATCGTGGAGACAGGAGATATCAACAAAGAAGATTAGGCTCCCTTGCAAAATAAGCGTATATGGGACAGAAGTAAATTAAAGACAAATACAATTCTCACAATGCCTTCTGAGAACATGATTCAATAAGAATGATATGAAAGTTAATGAATTTACTCAAGAGAAAATATGCTTCAATCTAGATTCAAATGTTGGATGTTAAAATAAATTTCATCATTATCCTATTTATTGAACGTATTAACAAATTGATACTTCACTGGCTTACCTTCTCTTTAATTAAGGCATCATATATTGTGGGGTCAAGCTTCAATTGTTTGGTACCTTTGACAGTTTTCAACCCAATGATAACATGGCTAATACTTTTACCATATCCACCTGTCATGCTCTCACTCTCTTCTGGAGATAGTTCAGTCACCTACATTAAGAATTGTTTAAAAATGAGATCAACTTCACAACGCATCAACATCGCAGAATTACTGTGTCAAGGACCGGACACAAATGAAACGAGAAATGGGATGGAGTATCGACTTGCCTCTCCTTCATAAACTTCCTTATTTTCCTTGATACGAAGACCAATAGCTCGACGAAAATTTTCCATTAAAACCTCAGTTTTCTTCACTTCTGATGAATACACTTCAGATCCAACCATCGGGCAAAATGGAACCTGCAACATCGAAGTTGATGCCACCGATCACATACAAGCTATATTTTGGATTGCCAATCCTAATAAAAGTAAATTTTCATAACAAACGNAATGGAACCTACAACATTGAAGTCAATGCCACCAGTTATCACACAAGCTACTATAATTTGGATTTCTAACCCTAATAAAAGTAAGTAAATTTCATACTAACAAACAAGGAATATTTACAATGCCTAATCAGCTCAAATGTTATTAATATTCATTCAATAAACTGCACCTCAACTCTAAACTAGTTGAGCTCGGCTATTTTGAATCATTGAATCCTTTATATGAATTCCACTCTGCTTGATCCCATTTCATTCCAATACTGGTAAATAAAGCTCAAAACATTATAAATATGATAAAAGAGAAGCATTAAATCCATAACCAAAAAGAGTAAAAAGAATGCACCTTGCTTCCAAGTTCTTGTGATATACCAAGAGCAAGAGCTGTCTTCCCCGTACCAGGCGGACCAGCAAGCAGTAAAGCACGACCTGCCATCTTCTTTTGGCGTATCATATCAACCACAAGCCCTGCAGCTTCTCTAGCTGCTGCCTGACCCACAAATCCAGCTGCCAGTGGTATTGGCATCCCATTGGGCTACAATATAATACAATGTAGTCACATTCAAGCAACCATATGTTGGCAATTTCAGTATAAACATATATAGAATTAAACATCAAATGCAAGAAAGTTCTTGGTCACTAAAGAACCAGCACAAAAATACCAACTTTACAGAAAAGTAACACCAAAGTCCAAAACCCTAAGAAAAGACGTTAAATCAAAATTTTGCCTAAAAGGTAAAAAGGGTGCAAATTAGTATACTAAGACAAAGAGGGGGGTGGTTAGACCCAGCAAAAGATTGAAGGTTTACACAAATTTAATATCAAAGGTCTAAAACCCAAAACCCCAAAAGAATAAATTAAACCAAAAGTTTGCTTAAACGGTAAAAAGGTACAAATAGTAGTCTAAGACAAAGAGGGGGCTGGTTAGAACCAGCACAATAGTGAAGTTTTAAACAAATTAAACACAAAAAGTAAAAATCCAAAAAACAGAGACAAATAATTAACTCAAAAAAAATGCTTAAATGGTAAAAAAGGGTATAAACAGTGTACAAAGACGAGAGGAGGTTGGTGTAAAAGGAATAAGTTACCTCAAGGCCAAGGCCTTTAATGTGCGTATGAGTGGCAATTCTCTGCTTCTTAGTGGTTGATTGTACCTCTTCTATCTTCATATTTTTCTTCTTTAGTGTGTCTCTTTAGCCGTTCTTTTCTTCTTCTTCTTCTTTGTTAGGGGTTTAGCAAAAGCTTCACTGATGGAGGCGATGGTGGGGGGTTTTGAAGAGTAAAGATGTAAAATGCACTAAACGCCCCGGTTTGTTTACGCTATTGCATCTAAGTCCTCTAAAGAAGTGCCACGTAGGATTTGCGCTTTTATATGTGCTACCTATTTGAAACTAGTCAAATATATTCCTATACTATTTGAAATAGTTTAAATACATTTTCCGTTTGAGTATCTGATCAATTATATCTTTACCGTTATACTATTGCACATATTTGCCCCTAATTTAGACGGAATAACACGTGGCAACCTGAAAAAGAAATAACCCACACCGATTTTAAATACTTGGATCCCTTTACAATTCCCCGTTAACTTGACCCATACCCGACCCATTCCCCTTCATTTGGTTTCTTCTTTGCATGCATTTTCGAAAATCGTCACAACCACAAAACAGTTGAACTGAATATGGTGATAGGATGCCAAGGAGAACTGATCAGACTATACGTCAGGCGAACTTTTCTTGAATTCAAAAGGTCGAAATCACACCAGTATCCAAACACTTCGTTGATTAAGATCTGGGAAGTGAACACTAAGAAAGAAGTATAATGTCACCTCGAGAAGCAAATGGCAAACATTTACAGTGCATTTGGGGTAAAATTTGTAGGCTTCATGGAAACAATAGCGTCTTTAGAGCCAATTTCAAGTCCAATCTGTCTTTCATGTCCATAGGTGGTTGGGAGCTCAAGTTAGGGGTTCTATGTATGCTAGCAACTTAAATGTGGCGCATGGAGAAATTTTAATTGCTTGATTATTGAACCCCTTGGGCTGTTGATTCTGGGAGTTTGCATCCAATATTTGAAGACGTGATTGGCAATATGGAAATTACACTTGAACTTGAAAAATCATTTGGGTTTGAAAATGGAATTGTCTGCTTGAGCTACAATTTGGTAAATGTACTGATAAAATTGAAAGCAGTTAGCTTTGATAATTGAGAAAAGAAATTTTGGGGCTTAAAGTTTCGAGCTCTATCATTATAGCTCCTGAGATTTGAACTGGTGGAAGGAACTAGTTTGGGAGATTAATTAATTTGTGACTGAAAATAGTTGGGTTTTAACATCCATTGACAACATTGATTTGGAACGTAGAAGATAGAGAAGGATGTAAAGGAAAAAAGGAAAGAAAATGAAAAGAAAAATAAAGAGAAATTAGAAGGGAATGGGTCGGGTATGCTTCAAGTTAAGGGGTGGGTTTGTAAAGTGAATCGGATATTTTTAAATTAGGGGTGGGTTATTTGATTTTTAGGTTGTCACGTGTCTCTCCGTCAAAATTAGGGGCAAATTAGTGCAAAAATATAACGGTAGGGATATAATTAACCAGATACTCAAACGAAGGATATATTTAAACTATTTCGAATTGTACAAGGATATATTTGACCCTTTTTCGAATTTTCAAAGTATGTAAATTATAGCTTAAAGATGGTTTCTAGCCTGTTTGATTAAGTTTCTTTTTGGCCAAAAAAAAAAATTCCAAACCTAAGGTATTTGTTTAAGTTTTTAGAAGGAAAAAAGTATTTTTGAGTAGAAGCATAAGCAGTTTTTGAGAAACAGAAAATTAGCTTCTTCCCAAAAATATTTTGAAAAGCAATTATGAGAAAAATATATTTAGAAGCATTTTTAAAAGTTTGGTCAAACACTAGTTGCTGCTCAAAAGTGCTTTTTAAATTAATTAGTCAAACACAAACTGTTTATCATATGTACTTTTTTGAAAAGTATTTTTTAAAATAAGCTACTACTCCTCATCCTTTTTCCAAACAGGCTATTCGAGCTTGGCCAAACAAGCTATTCGAGCGCGACTCTCTTTCTTCCTCCTCCTCCTTTTTCTTCTTCTCTACTTTGGTACCCCTAGTTCTCCTCATATACAATCTTTGAACAATATCATTACTTAATAAAAATCTTAACTAGTGTGATTTCTTAAAATTTCTTTTTTATGTCTAATAGGTGAATGATATTATCAGAAGAAGATATAGAAAGAGAAAATGTGTATGTGAATTTCTCCAGTTGGATTGATAAAGATTGTAATTAGTGTAAATGCATGTTCTTTCTTTGATACTTGGCATTCACATTACACTTGGATATCGTTCCATCATTTATATGTTGAGCCATTGCATTTACTTTCTTTCGTACTTTTTTATTCTTTTTCTCCCTAACACAAAATGGTAAAAATATATGAATTCCTCAAAATTATGCTTAACAAAAGAGAAAAATCTCTGCCTCGAGCAAAATTGCATCTTGCTTTTGCAGAAAATGGAACACTCTAAAACGTACATCTCCTTACACCTTTCTTTCGTACTTTTTTATTCTTTTTCTCCCTAACACAAAATGGTAAAAATATATGAATTCCTCAAAATTATGTTGAGCCATTGCATTTACTTTCTTTCGTACTTTTTTATTCTTTTTCTCCCTAACACAAAATGGTAAAAATATATGAATTCCTCAAAATTATGCTTAACAGAAGAGAAAAATCTCTGCCTCGAGCAAAATTGCATCTTGCTTTTGCAGAAAATGGAACACTCTAAAACGTACATCTCCTTACACCTTTCTTTGCACTCCACATTCTCTTTTCTTTTTTTCCCTTAAGAGTAAAAGAGGAAGAAATGTGAAGGTTTAGTAACATTGTATAAATATATTCGGCTCATGGAGTTTCATACTCTCAATTGAATGTAAATTAAGTAAAAGAAACTGATACTACGAGATGTGAAACTATACCTGTCGGACTATGAAAAACAAAGAACTTGGGCATTAAGGAGTAAAGTAGAAATTTTGCCATCATTAGTCATTCTCAAGACACTGAATCTCAACAAGTTAAGAAGTTCCAAATATGAGGTTTTCGTGTAACACTTGATTCATTACATTATAAATGCTCTCAGATACTACCAAACGGAGAGCAGTAGACACACTTTGGATCCTATTTAGTATGTGATCTCTCTCATGCGCGCACACATACACAAAAAAAAAAGGTTACACGTGAACAAATAGTGCTCCTCAATGTTTCCCAAGTGGTTTGTACTTCAAATGGAAGCAAGAAAGCTTTCTAAAGACAGCAAGCAGAACCACATCATGTTTTTAGGAGGCAATGCTTAAAACTCAGGCACAAGTCCTCTTCGCCTGAGTGTTCGGGGGTGGGAAGGGGCAAATATTCCAGAAATTGTTAGAAACTTCTGCTTGTCTCTTCGCCATTTCTCTTATCTTCATCTTTTTACTAATACCTCCAATCAAATACTAACTTTTCAGTACAATAAGAGTCAGAAATAAAGAATTCTTTAGCGACGAAAGTACAGAATGCAAATTGCAATTGAAATACCATGGACAGTACGGACACTGACATGATGGAGGCGGAGTCCATGGCGGTGCCACCGCAACCTCCACCGTCACAACTGCATTCCAGTCCAGGCCAACACGATGTCATTAAAGGCATGCTCACTACTTCTTGCCAGCTTATCGATCAAGGCAAGCCTTCTAAGGCTCTCCAAGCGGTGTCGATGGCCATGAGAACCAAAGGCAGTGAGCAAGCTATATTTCAAGCCCTTAATCGTGCCCAGGAGTTGTACAGAAATAAAGTACAGGCAAGTGTGGTTGCAGATGAGCTAGCTTATTTATTTGCTGAGTGTGCCATTGCTGAGGCCATGCCTCCCGTATCCCAGCCTTCTGAACATAATACAGTGGATAACCCAATTGAAGTAGATGTTGATGGAACTTCAATATTAGCTAAAACTGGCAGAAAACAGATAATGCTTGATGCATTCTCTAATGAAACCAACTTTGTCTGCTTACACTGTGGGGGTCTAGTTAGTGCGCACCGCAAAGAAGAGCACTACTCATTCTGGTTTTGCAAAATGTGACACAATTTGTTACTTGATGGGGAACATTTCCTTGCTCGGTTCTTGGACAGACTACAGAGTGCTACATTTTTTATGTCATTACTCTTCATGAGAGACATATATCTCGTGCAAGGTGCTTGCGTACCATAGGTGGTAGTTTCTACTATATACATAATCTGCTCTTGGTTGCAGATGTACTTTCTTTAAAGGCATGTTGTTGTAAGCGTTACAAGGCCATTTGGTGGTTGAAGTTACGGATGCCTGAGGTAGTACCCAACTACTAAACGTCATATGGTTAGATATTGATTACAGGAAATGTATTCCGTTCTAGGAGTGTGTTTATGCACTTTTGTGATGTTTAAGATGTTTTCAAATAATACAAAAAAAAGTCCTCTTCTGCTGAACAGATTCAACTTAACAACAACTTGCTAATCTCCAGTCCCATCTTCCAGTAGGGAGAGTCTTTCAAGGATAGCAACCGTCTCTTCTTTGGCACTGTTCACAAAGTTAGTGGTTCATCAAATTTAAACAAAACAATCTTATGACGACTTTCTAGTTCAAACAGTCAAACACCAAGAGAAGTTTCGACAACAAGATATAATTATACACAAAATACATATATGATCAAGTCATAGACATTATCTAGAGGATTGCACCAGATAGAAATTTTGAAGGCAAAAACTCCAAAAACTGACATATATTCCACATGAAGACTCTGTACTTGAACAGTACAAAAGAAAATTTCGTCCCTCAAACAAGAAACGGTTTGCAAGTAGCATACCATTAATATGATCAAGGCATGAGGCAAATTGTATATCTTAATTCTTAAGCTTATTGTATTTATTGGAGTAAGGGAATTGAGCATGATTGATTTAACAAACAATATGAAAATTATTGTGCATCTTCTTACTCGAGTATTTTCTGGTATTAATTTAAGAAGTGAACTCTTTTGAAGCATTTTCAGAAGGTTATAATCAGTTCAACTCGATAATATTTCCGACCCTAGATATTGGAAGATTACCTCCCAGGTCTTAGAATCTTGTACTTCCCCAACTTGGTAAGATCCACCATTGTTGATCCTGCTCGCCCAGCTGGAAGAATTCCGCCATCATAGACATATGCACAATGCTCCCAAAGGTTCTCAAAATCTTTGATGTTTATGATACTCGGTTGTCCACTGAGGTTTGTACTAGTAAGTGAAAGGGCACTTCTAGAACCATGGGCAACTGCCCTGATGAAGTTATAGTCAGGCACTCGAACCCCTATGCTCTCTAATCCAGGGTTTAATGACTTCTCAAGGATGCTTGAGTCACCTGCAAAATATCTGAATTCAACCTCTAGTACAGAAGATTTATAAGAGAAAGATAAAAGCTTCTAAAACTACTGAACACAGGCCAGTATTTGCCCAGGTGAGTGACTCTTCTTGGTCCTTCTTCAAGTGTCTTACTTGAGAAGTTACATACATTTACTATGTAACAATAAAGTCCTAACTTGAAATATTTAACCTTAAGTCCTAAACAGAGCTTGAATAACGATACTTATCCCTGCCACATTTGTTGTATATCATGAACATCGCTAACACAAATAGCCAGAGGACTTGTATGCTTACGTCCTTTGATCTCATAAATACGATTCACTGCCTCTGCAGAACTAAATCAATGCACCATATAAAATTAAATCAGAGTTTTCATAAATACGACTTAGAGAAATAAACAAATTAAATTGTCTCTTTGATTGCTAGGTCAAATGAATGAACAACGAACAACAAGAATGTTTCTTTTTTCTGAAAGTTAAATCAACCTGGAGCCCCAATAAATTTTTCAATGAGAAGTATATTATCTTCTAACAACCTAGATTCAAAATATTACTTTCTAATTCACAAAACTAATTAGCACATGCAAGTTTGGCAGTAATCTTATTTCAATTTCCTTAGCAGTATCAGCTACTAGCTCATTCAGAGGCAACTTTATGACACCCATTCGCTGGTCTTGCCCAATGTCGTTATGAAGACCTCTAAGATGGGAGTTTGGGTCTCTTTGTCTTCTGCAATTAAAATCTTATCCTAAACGGGATTTAGGTTCTTCTCAATGATTTTGGTCTTAACCTTGAAAAGTGGACGAATGTATACAACCACGTATTTATCAGATTTTCCTAACATTTCATGATTCTTTAAGCCATTAGCCTTTACTACAGTTTCTATGTGCTTCTCTATGGCTTAAGTTCCAAATCGCTAGTATCCATAGGCATGCCGCCTATTGGAACAATAATTTTAGTGGGGCCATTCTAGCATATATTTATCACTAGTCACTAGTGTATTTACAATGTCATCAATCATATATGAAAGTCCAAGAAGAGCTGTTAAACTTCCACCAACAGCCCTCAAAGTATAATCAATTTTAGACTTTGGCTTAGAAAGTAAAGCTACAATAACATCAAAGAAGCAAGGAATTTCCCATATAGTTGGAAGATGACACAAATAACAATGAAATTGAAGATATTTCAACTGAATGGGTACAGAAACAGCCATTGCAGCTTCAATACTTAAGACAATATTGAGATCACCACCCCATCGGAGGTCAATGTCCTTTTTCTGGATAACAGGAGGTATCCCAGCTTGGCACACGTTGACCATTCCACCGGATACCTATAACTATCAATAGTATCTATGTTATGTAGACTCTCCAAAATGTTGTTTCACCCGTGTCGATACTAATTTTGGAGGATCCGACACACATCCAGCAATATTTTCGGACAGTCCGAGCAGCGTAAATGCCAAGTAACTCTGCCTACTAAAGCTTAGGCAGATAGGAAGAAATAACCTGGTGTTTGTTGTCTCTGATAAGATTTGAACTATGGTTTCCAAGGTTTGCACCCACTTCATTGACTACTAGGCTGAGGTATCCTATCAGAGGTCAATATCGATAGTGCTTTGACCTTGTTTAAGGCTCTGAACATGAATACCTTCTATTTTAGGTGCCAAAGTTCCCAATGGTAATTTGCAGAACTTCAATGAAATAATTTTAGGAGGTCAATACTCTTCTAAAAAAGGTTCAGCAAATCTCTTATAATAGCCTCTACTTCTTCGGCAATAAATGGCCATATTTGCTCGATTGTTTGTTCATCGATTTGACTTGTTCATAAACTGGGAATGACATCCATTCAAGAAAGTTACAGCCACATATTTTCTTTAGATTATCCCTGTCGAGGGAGCCCATTAGTTTCACATCAACTACCTTACTGATTGGCTTGTAGTTCCTGTACCTCAAATCTGGCCAAGCTGTCATTAAACTGATTCCGAAGATTATCCCTATCAGTATGCAGAAATCAACCCCATTTATTTCAACCCAATCCCCTCTTCATTCCCAAAATAATAATTGGGTATAAATACTGAAACTTCTTGCTTCTCCAACACAGGTTCTCCACCAAATGGTGTTTCTTGGCATTCCTTTCCTCCATAATACTTTGATGCTAAAGAAGAAAAGATATCTTACTTATTTCATTGTACAATGAAATGAATGAGGCTTGGACGGTTACGCATTACTACCTACTGTTTGTTTTTTTTATTTTTTTTATTTTTTTATGAACTTTACCTATTGTTTGTTTTTCTCCAACAAGAATGTTTGAAACGTCCTGTTTAGTCAATATGTTATTGCACTATCCTAGGAAGGATAGAGTTCTTAAGGTCTAATCTGTTACTTCTTTCTTTGAGTTAGATTTTATCAATTCCAGGGAGACGAGTGGAAGGAGATACAGAATATGAGAAAATAGCTTTCTTCACATGGTGTGGAACAGGGAATGCAATCCTTAAAGCACAACTGCAGATCAAGAAAAATCAGCCAGAATGGAGAGCGACTACAAATATCATTCCTTTTATCACTATCTAGTTCCCACTTCAGGCACACAATGCTCTTTTCACAAGCCAAAGTCCCCAAGTACCTATTCAAAGGACACTGATTCTAGTCAAAAAAGAACAAGTCCTCACTAAGTTGACACCCTATGCTCAATTTAGGTTACTATAGGTTGTGAGAGTTTAAATACCACTGTGAACAAACCTCCAAAAGATTTTCCCCGAAGGTTCACCTTGTTTTTGGGTAGTAACAAATATGCTAACCCAACAAAGCCAAATCCCAAATAAGATAGAGTTGACTAATTATGCCTTACTAGTATACCAAAACATCATGTTTGCCTATTTGAAAATCTTTCCTGTAAGCTACTAATTTCTATTTTCTAGTGTCTAAGAAAAAATAAAGCTTTACTCCATTAAAATGTCAGAATATAGAACTACATTGAATCGAAAGGCAAAAATATCAACAAAAAAATTTAGAATACTTTGCAACAGAATTTTGGTGTTTTACTGTCCAAGCCTACTTATTAATTCAAGCCTACGCTTTCCTCTCCAATCTATTTCCTTTATCCAATACAAAATAGACCAAAACCCAAGAGTACTAATAATGTATTAGTACAAAGTATATTCAAAATATTATATATTTCTATAATAGTTCATTTCTCTAGTGTGTGTGTGTAACTTGTCATCAAAGAGGAAAGAGCAAATTAGAGGCATACCAAGCATCACAAGCAAAACCATATAGTGTATCAGTGGGCACAGTTATAACTTTCTCAGCTTTGATAACTTCAATTGTCTCTTCAGCATAATCTTCTGTTGCAGGACTCACAGAAACTACCTTAGTCTCCACATTCCCATTACTTTTCTCCAAACTCCAAGCCATTTTCTTCACACTAAAACCCCTCCTACTTCTTGTCCACACGTTCAAAAATCTAATCTTTTCCACCCCTTCAGGGAAAAAAAAAACAAAAAGTTTAATCTTTGTTATGTCTAAACAAAACTGGAAATAGAATTTCTAATTATAAGAAGAAAAGGGAAGAAGACTAACGATGAGTGTTAATATCAAAGAGTACCTCAAGAAGGGTGAAATAGAGAGGTGAAGTAAGGGAGAGTTTGGGCTATTTTTGTGGGCGTGGTGGCGTTCATCAGTCTTCTCTCTCCTCCAACTTTGCTCTGTTTATGTTCTCTGCAGCATTTTATCTCAAGAAAATACATGCCCTATTTGGTTGGAGGCCAGAGGCCTAAGTCTAAAAATTCAGCCGCCAATTGACTTCTACCGGGTACTCTTTTTTTGTTTTTGTTTTTGTTTTTGTTTATTTCCTTTTTTCTTTTCTCTCCGCTTAACTAAAAATCAAATGGGAATTGGTATGTTTACAACTGTTACAAATTCTATATATTAGAAAGGCGAAATGACTTCCTGACCACTTAAACTTGTAGGGCTTTTGAAAGCCGATACACGAACTTTGGATTTTTCCATTTGAACACTCGAAATCATGATTCCCTTAACTAATAAAAACATCTGACCCTTGAGCCTACGCGCGTGTATTACACATACACAAACGTGTCCACCCAGTCAGCAAATGACCAATCCAAAAGTAAGACCCCACCCAACTAATGACGTGTGTAATTTTAAAATAAAAATTGTCACCTATAATTATATTTTAAAGTAAAAATAAATACAATAAGAAAGAAAAAACTTAAACCCTTCCGGCTTCCTCTTCCCCGTTCCTTCCCATCATCCCCTGTCCCTCCCACACCTGCAACTCATTCGTCTGCTTCCATATCAGTACTCCCTTCCTATTAGAAAAAGTAGTGTTTCTTTAAAAATACAATGTTCATGCATCGGCTTTCAAAAGCACTACAAGTTTAAGTAGCTAGGAAGCCATTTCGCCTATTAGAAAATGTAGTATTTCGACATGTCTGCTTAAAATCCTTTAAGGAAAAGTTAAGGGCATTGTTGTCTTTTCAGACCACCTAATGAAATGTCGCCTTATCGTGAAACTGAGTAGCCACGTATCATTTGGCCACTGTTTCTCTGGTTCATCTTCCTTCTTCGTGGTGCTCTCATCTCTTTCTTCATCATAATGCTCTGAGCTTAATTAGCTAATGCATCTGTCTTCAACGTCTTTATCTAGCATCCCTCAATGCTTTCCTCGATTTCTCTAGCTAGAAGGAATTCACCAGCACATGGATTTGATGATCCCAACGACTGTAGTTCCGATAAATGGTGATCTTCTTTTTGTCTGCTTATTAGTAAATAATCTTGGGGTTTCACTTTTTTATATTATTGGTAAATATTTTGAAGTTTATAGTGCTGGAGTTTTCTCAGCCGTTTTTAGGTAAGCTTCATTGAAAAATTTCAGCTCTATTAATCCATGCATAGATCTGACCAAAAACTGGAAGAAAGTGATAAAACATGTGGAAGAGGAACAAAGTTGAGCACTCTTCTGCGGCTTTTGTTCAAGATTGATGTAGCAATCAAATTAGAACTTTTTTTGGTTGGATTTATTTTATTTGGTAAAATCACTGAAATTTGTAGTTACTGCATTGACATCTCAACTAATATTAGGAAATGTTATTCATCGACACACATAGAGCATTAGTAGCTGACTTTTATATACACTTTTGGAGATAATAATTTTGGTTGCTTTAAATTTGTTTTAAATTTTTTTGAACCAATAAACATTTCAACTAATTTTCTTGGTGCTTGTTCAAGCTTAGTTATCAATGATTTGCCATTTGATAAATCCGGTAGATTCCTTTACCTCACAACACTGAACATAAGAAGCTAGGCATAAAGTTCACATATCTTTATTTCTTCTTTAAAGTACTTTTCCCATGTATGGTAGAATTAATTGAAAACCTGCATTCTGTCAACAGATGACGCATTGATTTTCTTTCTTATTTCGAAATTGATTAATATTCTTTTTTTCTTAATGCTCTGTAGTTTATCTCCTAGGTGTAATTTCTCACCGATGTTTAGGTTCCCAGATCTTAGATAAAATGTATGAGAACGATAAACGTGTATAATATTATAACATTTGCAGTTGTGATGTCTACAATCACATGAGGTGTATGAACAAATCCTACTTGTAGAAATATACTGGATATTTTGTAATTGTTCAATCATACTAAGCCTGAATAATCTTAACATGATCTAATATTGTTCGTTTTGAGTCAATTTGCACTGAATTTTCCTAAAGACACGTAACCACTTGGCATTCCGATTACTTCATCCATTAACTTTTTTTTAAATTTCAAAATAAAGGAGAAGCTTCCAGTTTAGAAGCTACCGCTTCCTGCCTCCCTTGCGATGAGTTCAGTGGACCGCTGTTTGGCTGACCCTCTTCTTCTCATTTGTGTTGGGTTGACCCAGAAGTACAACAAAAAGAAATAGAACCACTGGAGAGTCGTCTGCAGTTCACACTTCAGCAAAGACGACTGACTTTGGAAGCGAAACACGAACCTATTTCCGCTATTTCGGGTTCTTATTGAGCGTAACAAAATCAAGATTGATTATAAAGTCAACGAAGTTTCCATAGTGTTCTACCACCTCACACCATTTAAGAACATGTGTACACTTTATATATAATTAAGTCACGCATGGCCATCATGGGATATATTCACTAGCCCCTCCAATCTAGCACGGGGTGGCCAACACCTATTGACTTGGGATTATCTGAATGTTTTTTAAATTTAATTTGCCTATGTTCCCGTGAACAAATTTAAGTCTACTTAATCATAACAATGGTAGTAATAATACTCCTTCCTGTCCAAAATAAGTGATTTTTTGATTGTTTCACACATATTAAAGAATTCACCTTTTAACATTAATTAGCAATAAAATTGACCATATTAACCTTTACTATCTATTCACATAAACGTTCATAACACATACTTCAACATTAATTACTCCAAGAGCAATGTAGGAAAAAAATAATTAATTCATTCTTGAAATTTGAAAAAATCATTTATTTTGGACCACAAGAAAAAAGTCAAAAAATCACTTATTTTGGACCGAAATAAGTGAAAACAAAGAACTGAGTGAAAACAAAGCTCCACCAAAATAACTTAAATTGGAGAAGAAAATAAATTCATCTTCAAAATATGTCGAAAAACCAGATCATTATCTAACAGGTTTAGGGTTAGGATAATGTAAGTATCTTGTAACAAACAGCCATTACTGAAAAAATTCCGCACCACACATTTTTAGCAAGAGTATCAAATACACAGGAGTCACCTCACCGCAACGGGCTAGAATGTACGCTTAACGTAATGAAACATCAGTTACAGAAGACAGCCACATCCTTAAATGAAACAAATTGACTTGCAAAATGCAATTTGGATACGAGCACCTCAACGAACAAAGCTATAGCGTCCAGATTTAAGAATGAACAGGATATTACGGTACAGTTTCTCATGAGATGTATCTATCCTGTTGCTCTTGAAGAAGTCGGGCAGATGATTTCGCATCAAGATACAATGTATTTACTTCTTCTAGATCCATCTGTAAAATTTAAAGGCTCAGTAAATATCTTCAACTAGCTTCAACAAGGACAAAAATGATAAAGAACATGATTGGGCAAGTACCTTGCAGATTTTGTCACGGCCGTTCATTTTGGCGACTACACTGGCTGGTGATAGTAGCTGTACAGCATGCCTGACAAAGGAAAGAATTGAACACCGGTTACTTCTAATTAAAAGAATAAATATCTGGAGTTATAAATCAAACAAGTTAAACCCAACCTTAAGGAAGCTTGCTGTCCAATCTCGCTTTCCTTTATAAACAACATTTGGAGCTTTCTCACCATGTTCCGAAACTATATTCTCTACAGCAAATGCAGATGTAGCTATCCTGAGCTGCTCAAATGAAAACTCTCAGGAATGCAGGCAAATCACTAACTTCATCTTTTTCTTCATCTATTTGCAGCATGAAACCAGATAAAAATAGCACGTACATTAAACACTGCAGGAGGAAAGTGCTACAGAAAAGCTTATAATAAAAGATATACATACCAGGATTTTGAGCCTCGTGAATGGGGCCACTCTGTCCTGTCCAGTAACACAAGGCAAATTTAGAACATTCACAGCCCATGATGCTACCAACTGGTTTAAAGCCTTGAGGCAAATGGTAGCTTAGAGCTTGTAGCACAACCCAACTAATCACACCTTCTGCAGCTCCAAAATCTGCAGTTGGCTGCAAGAAGCAGACGGTCAATTCAAGTGTATTCCACTTCTTAGAAGCATGGCGGAGCCAGGATTTTCACTAAGGGGATTAAAAATATACAGAAGTAAATACACGAATAGGTCAAGGGGATTCAATATCAATTATATAATATATATACATAAAAATGGTTTTAACCTTATATATATAGTGTAATTTTCCAGCGAAAAGGGCTCAGATGAACCTCCTTCGGCCACTAGCTCTGCCCATGCTTAGAAGATATCCGTTATTGAAACTAGAACTAGAAAGATAGTCAAGTTTTAAAGAAGTGCAACAAAATTTTCACCTACTAATAATTCCCTTTGGAATCTCCAAATGCTTCCTCATATACGCAACAGAAACTGTACGACAGCACTTTTTCAAATCCAAAACTCAAAGAACTGCATAGAAATTTCATAGTCAAAGCTGTGTCCCTATGTGTTAAAAAGAAGATATGCAATACCAAACTAGAATATCAATCATCCAAATACATCTCAATAATAAACTAGTAAGAGTCGGCTATATGAATCCTCTATTTCCATTCCACTCTATTCAGGCCAATTTTATTCCAAAATCAGTACAAGACCATGTACATTTTATTAAATCAAGCAAATAGCATAAGGTTCAGAATCAACAAAAGAAAGTACCTTTAGCAGCAATGGGAAACACAACTTCCTCTGCAAAGCAACCAATTCTGCCCCACCAAAAAGCTTCCTTTTTCTGAATCAACCAAAAAGGTTCAACACAACCTAAAGTCATATAGGTCAACTCAAGTCAAAATCAAAGCTTAATGCATCAAAAATCCACATAAAAACACACAACCAATAAAAAACCTGATCCATGGACACATCATGGAACCAGAAAATGAAAATGCCCTCCATTTGAATCTAAATGACAACAAGCAAACATATTGATCATGAACCGCCTAACCTTATTGCTGAAATACAGATCTCCAGAGTTCATCAACTGCTCGGCTTTGTATACACTACAATATTTTTGACCTCCTCATTTGGCCACTGTTGCATTCACTTGGTTTTTAGGTCAAGATGACTGTGTCCTGCTTCGGACTTGCGCATATCCTAAATAAACTTGCGATTTGTATAACTTCTCTTCATGACAGAGATTCTCTTTTATTGTTATGTAAAACATCTGGTATACACTTCAATTAATTTCCACAAGATCCAAAAGTAATTCGGAAGACAATGAATGGGAGCCAAAAATAGAGATATCTCAGAAAAGACAATGATAAGGTTGAATTTGACATGAATAACTTATACAACTATGAAATTCATCTCATCCAGTATCAAGAATACATATGTTAATAAGTATCAATGAGGAAATAAATTAACAAGAATACACAGATTCTTGAATATATTACAAGATTTCATTTGTTGCTGACATTTTTAGCTGAAGAGCTGGAGTACAATGTCTTTTTTGTCCTACGCTCTCCCAACAGCAGAAAGATCCTCATTTGTATTGCACTCTTCAATTCCTTTAGAACTCATTTCAGAGCATATAATTTGTGCCTCTTGCAATCTTCCTTCCTCTCTAAGGCCAGATACTAGCTCATTACAGATATTGGCTGCCAGGAGAAGACCATTGTCAAGCATCTCTCTGTACCACATGTAAGCGCCAAGAAAATCTTTAAGTTTGCAATGCCCTTCAATCAGAATATTATAAGTTTCATCATTGGGAACAATATTGTTAGCCTTCATCTGATCGACGAGATTCTTGGCTTCTTCACATTTTCCCTCTTTCAAATGCACCATAACCAAGCTATTGTACGTCTTCTTGTCAGAAGGAATTCCTCGTTCCACCATCTCTACGTGCATGGCAACTGCCTTTTGAACCTCTCCATGCAGTGCATAGCAATGGATGAGCTCGTTATATACCACTCGGTCGGGAGAAAGATCCATCTCGGCCATTTCTTGAACAATTTTGTCGACTAGCACCAGTTCACTCTTTTCCTTTTTGCACACTCTAATAAGAGGATGAATTGTGTTCATTGTAGGTTTTATGCCAGAGGTTTTCATCTTCTCATACATTTGGAAACACTTTCCAGTGTCCCCTGCATTTGAATATGCAGACATTAAAGAATTGTACGTGATAACATCTGGATTTAAACCTTTGAGTAGAATATGCACAACCAAATCCTCGGCTTCTTTGATCATACCCTTTTTGCAAAGCCCATTTAATAGAGTATTGTATGTAACCAGTGTTGTTTCTATATCACTTTCTACCATCTTCTCGAAACATACAAAAGCATTACTCATCGTTCCTCTCATACAATGTCCATCTATAAGCATATTATAGACCTGTGCATTTGGTTTAACCCCTCTACTGATCATATCATTAAGGACTACATCAGCTTCAAGAAGCCTACCATCCTTGCACAAAGAATTGATTAGCGAACCATATGTAATTACATTAGGCTTCAATCCATTATCTTCCATCTCCTCAAGAATCTCAAAACACCTCGTGAATTCC